AATCCTAAAGATTTTGTAATCGAAAATCCACAAACTGGGTTCTAAAACAATCAGGAGTTTATGGATGAGTTTGAATTTAAAGATGTAGATTACTGTAAATACGGAATGCCTTGCAGAAAACGCACTAGGCTCTGGAATAACATTACAACTTGGAAACCTAGAGATTTATGTAAAAAGGATTGTGGCAACATCAGGAATAAAACACATATTGAAGCTGCGCAACGTTTGCCAAGTGGAAACAAGGAAAAATGGGGAGGCAATCCAATAATACATAAGCAGGAGGATTTATATAAAATACCTAGCGAATTAATTTGTGAAATCTTGGTGAGTTTGAATTAGGGGTAAGGGGCTTCCCCGTTTTGGGGGAAGGGGCTTCCCCTTTTTGGGGGAAGGGGCTTCCCCTTTTTGGGGGACAGGGGGAAGGGTTCCCCCTTTTTGGGGGAAGGGTTTCAGCCACCTGCATTTGCCACTGCCTCATGTGGCTCATTTCGGTGGTTCAATTCAACCCATAATGATTAAAACCATACTATAATAATAACATGTAAAATCTTATATGTTATGCTTGTATTATACTTATCGTTTGTGAAGATTGAATTATGTTTCTTATTATCCTTCATTAATGACTTAAAATAACTTAAAGAAATATTGACTTAATATATTAAGATAGAAATGGTGGAAACCGAAATCAATATTTATATCAATAAGAAATGCTACGACTGTTGCCACTTCAAAAAGAAAATATGGAAATATACAAATTAAATTTACCTAATGGTATAGCAAATAGTATTATTGATTATGCTTTGGACGAAGAAGGTTTATGTAGAATTTGTAGAAATTGGAGATGTTATCAAGCATTAATCAAATGTCATTTGAACATTAAAAGAAGAAATAGTAGACATGTTGAAGATGAAATCTTGATATTTTTAACTGTGTATGAAAGACCACCTTACGATTATGTTAAACAGCTTCTTAAAATCAGTAAGAAAAGTACGAAATGATTAATGACATATTAAGGATGTTAGTAAATCGCAGAAGCGAAGAAGAGGACATAAAGGAAGCTGTCAAATCATATATTGAAAGTGAAGAGTTTAATGTTAAAAATACAGTGAGAGATATTAACATTATTTTTAAAATGATGTATGAAAGAAGTAAGATGTGTCAATTAAATAGTTATCCTGAACTGAAACTATAATCATACTATAATAATAACATGTAAATTATTATATGTTATAATTGTAGCGATTGAATTATTACATTTTCTTAATTTGCTTACCTCTTTCAAAGTGCGTTGTGTAGACTTGGTATGCTTCTTCAGTTTTTTCGTGCTTTGGCTGTTTGTTTTTATTTTGTTTGATACTCTTGCGATATTTTTTGATGGTATGTTGCTTTGTTTTTTGTTGATGTGTGTGTTTTTAGTTTGGGTTCTTTGATGATTTAGAGTTTGGCTGTTTTGTTGGTATGCTTGTTTGAATTATGTACTGTTGTATGCTGTGATTAAATATTTTTGTTGTTGGTTGTGATTATTTATTTTGTTTGCTTGTTGTTCTGGATTTTGTTTTCTGTTTGTTGTGTTTCTGTTTGAAAAAATAGTAGAAAGAATAATTCTTTGAATTCTCCTTTTACTATTTTTCCCCCACCCCCGCTACGTTTTAGGTGTTTTACAGGGATTAGTTTGCCCGTGATTGAATCCTCACTTGTACCATGAGGCCTTGCCGCAGAGGAACTGATGACCTCCCCGCTGCTTTTTTATACTCTTGAATCATCACTTTTTCAATCATCGTGGGGGGGGCTGCCGCTATTTTTTGATTTTTTGCCCCTATTTGAATCATCACTTTTTCGATCATCATGCGACCGCTACTTTTTAGATTCTTTGCCCCTAGCTGTTCGATCATCATGGGGGGCCTCCCAACCCCCCCGCTATTTTTAGACTTTTTGCCCCTGATTGAATCATCTTCTTTTCGATCTGCAGGAATTAGTTTGCCCGTATTTGAACCCTCACTTGTACCATGAGGCCTTGGCGCAGAGGCACTGATGCCCCCCCCCCCTGCTTGTTTTGTAGTTTTTCTGCCCATTGAATCATCACTTTTTTCAATCATAATCCCCCCCCGACTTTTTGCCCCTGATTGAATCATCACTTTTTCGATCATCATGGGGGGGCTGCCGCCCCCCCCTCAACCCCCCCGCGCCTTTAATTGAATCATCACTTTTTCAATCATCATGGAGGGAATTGCCGCCCCCCCACCCCCGCTACGTTTTAAGTGTTTTACAGGGATTAGTTTGCCCGTGATTGAATCCTCACTTGTACCATGAGGCCTTGCTGCAGAGGAACTGATGGCCCCCCCCGCGGCTTTTTTATATTTTTTGGCCCTAATATTATTGAATCATCACTTTTTCAATCATCGTGGGGGGGGCTGCCGCCCCCCCCCACCCCCCCCCCCACCGCTATTCTTGGACTTTTTGCACCTATTTGCATCATTACTTTTTCGATCATCATGCGACCGCTACTTTTTAGATCATCATGGGGGGGTCTGCCGCCCCCCCCCAACCCCCTCAATATTTTTTAGACTTTTTGCCCCTGATTGAATCATCACTTTTTCGATCATCATGGGGGGGGCTGCCGCCCGCCCAACCCCCCCGCGCCTTTAATTGAATCATCGCTTTTTTAATCATCATAGGGGGGGCTGCCGCCCCCCCCAACCCCCCGCTATTTTTGGACTTTTTGCCCTTAATTGAATCATCACTTGTTCGATCATCATGCGACAGTTACTTTTTAGATTTTTTGCCCGTAATTTTTCGATCATCATGGGCCCCCTAACCCCCCTGCGCCTTTAATTGAACCCTCACTTTTACCATGAGATGCGGGAGACCAATTTGCTGGTGATGCTGGCGATGTTGGCTGGACATGCGGGGGATGTTGAACACGATGCTGATGATGTTGACGGACGCGTAAAATACGTACATGTCGCAAGAAAATGCCGTAAAATACTGCATTTTAGTGGCCAGGACGGAAAACAAAAAAATCCAAAAAAATAACATTCCTAACATCCGGCAACCCAACCCGCCTCCCCTTCTGGGAAGGTGTGTTTGCCGCTTTTGTGTTCTTAACATGGCAGTTGATCAAAGGTCCTTGCAAGGACTAGCAATGTGGAGGGCCATGGCTTTCTACTGGCGTTTGTGCCAGTTAAAGATCCGTGAAGGGGTCTGCGAAGTCGATCTCAGCCCCTCCTCATTGTCATCTTCTCCTTCGAGATCTCTGCATTCTTCCTTGCGGCCACCGGTTCTTGGCTTGCATCACCCCACACCGGTGGCTCGCTTGTTTCTTTTGCGGCGCCTCATTCGCGCCTCTGCGAGCGCTGGTTTCACAGAGCTCGAGCGTGCCCCTGTTCATGGTTCCAGCGCAATCGCCGACCCTTAACCGGTTCCAAAGGAGAGCTCGTTGAAGAGAGATTGAGGGCGTCAACGCACTTGAACCGGGGCTTCATGTTTCCCAGAGCCTTCTCTTGCCAGGAATCTCTGGCCAATTTTTGAGGGTTGCTTCCGTGAGCCGAACGCTTCAATTCCTCGCGCTGGTTGAAGCAGCAAAAATATGTAATGTTGTTTTTTGCATTTACATAGTCCGAAAACATGTTCTTTGGTTGCTTCATGAGCTTCGCAGCGAGGACGTGGCAAGCTCAATTTTCTTGCCTGTCGCGGAGTCGTGCTGCACCCCTGCCCTCCTTGCGTTTTTTGGTAAACATGAGCTGCCAACTGCTGCTGCCGACTCTTGAGTTTCGGGGCGGGGTGCTTCTGGCGGCAAAACTCTTCGTATATGATCGCGACAATGACATCTTGCAAGCGCAGAAACCTTGAAAAATGGAAGCGCGCATCCTACTCGAGCATCTTTTTGTTGCCCATATCGTGCCTCTCCTTGGAGAAAGGGCCTGATCTGCAGGCCCATCCCCTTGACAGGGAAAGCGAGATGCAGGGCCGGAGTAGGGAATCCGACCTGGTTTGCCAGTGAATTGTAATCACCTTCCAGCAACTTGCCATCGCCATTGCTTGGCATGCCGAGTGTGAATCGAGGCAAAAAGCCTGGCAGCAACTCTTCGCAATAGCGGCTTCAACGTGCTCTATGACGAGGCCTACGGACGAATCCAAAGGGGACACGAATCTAACAGCAAATTGCGCCCGCCAAAGGCTGGCACCATCGGAAAGCGGTATCGACGGATGGATGAGGCCGCCGAGCAAAATGAGCGCTCGGCGTGTGAACGCTCTGAGGTTGGGACTCCCTTCTGCTGTACTGTAGACTTCGACACGCTTGAGGCAGCATATGGACAGAGAGTTTTGTTCTGCTCAAGTTATATGTGTTCTATTTCAAGCCTGCTCCTCAGTGCTTTGCATTTGCCTTTGCGCTTGGCCACTTGGCTAACCGGATTGATCATGGACAGAAATCGCAAGAGAGATGAGCTGGAATTCCGTGCGTCCCCGAGCTTTGCGAGTTGAGCCATTCTCCCAGGACGACACTGTCACAGTTCGACGAAGGGACGATCCTTTGAAGGCCTGGGGTCGGACAATTCTGGCTATCCGTAATCCGTAGGGCATCCGGCTCTCCAGGTCTTGCTATCCACCCGGAACTCGAAATCTGATGGAATGCCGTTCAGGTGGAGCGAAAGCGGGTGGGCGCGATTGGCGAGTTCTTGGCTACGGAGTGCCCGGACCTCGAAAGCAGAAGAAACAAGACCTGATTTCCTTTCTTCCATGTTGAGTTGTCACAGACTTAATCCTTTGATATGTTCTTTGTTTTTTGCTTGCGAAGCTTCCAAATATGAAGCTGGAGGCCAACTTCCAATGTGATATTCAACACGTTGCGATTTTCGGGCGGGCAAAAACGCGACTTTGGCAGAGAATGCGCCAATTGAGTTGGCACAGTTGCGAGCTTTGTGCAACGTGCAACCAGCAATGTTCTGCGAGCAACAAATCAGTGACTGCTTGCGCATTTTACACCTTCGAGCCGCCAGCAATTTTGTGCCTTAGCTTAGTGCACTTGCGGTGATGGCACGTCAGGCTCTCAGTGCGCTTGGTGTGTTCTTGTTCTCTTGTTTATTATTGTGGATCTCGTTAAAGGGCATGCGATTCCCTGATCGTCTGCGTTTGCTTGATTAGTGTGTTTTGTTCACGTGATGTTTGTTTTCCAGCAAGCGGCACTACGCTGCCGCGAGGCTCAAGTTTCGAAACTCCTGTCGCAGGGAAGAATTGAATTCATGTTGCAGGCGCCAGAAAGCGGCGGCCCTCTCTCGTCCTCGTTCCGTTCGGGGTCGTGAGCTTCCGGCTTTAGGAGGTGCCTGGTGGATCGTGCAGGGCCACCTGGGCTTGGTTTGGATCATCCTTAACAACTTGGTTTCCTATAGCTTGGCCATCGACCGCAGCTTCCCCGAGTTGTAATGCCGGATTCTTTGGTTACATCGTGGACAAAAATGCAGGTTATCAGCCGTGTGTGCTGCGGCTGGCGGCCCTCATGTTGAACCGATGAAGCAAGGCACATGCGCACGTGCTGCGTTGCATGTGAATGAGATTTGCTCGCACCTGTCTATAGAATCATCTGATGGCCAGAAGTTTCATGCCAGTGGAATGAAACTCCTTGGGCTGTACCTGGCCCTTGAAGAAATCGTAAGCATTCATGCTTGCACTTGGAAGTGGAAACCAACACATCATTTGCTTGCCCACTTCTGGACAAATCTTTGTCCAGCCCTTCAAAGTACTGGACGGAATCTTATGGCGGCACAATGAGCCACACAGGTTCTCACAAGGGTGGCAGCAATTGGCTTCGTGCTTTATCAGCCAAGCGTTTTAACAAGTTTGCTGCTCAAAATCAGCTCCCAACTCTCTGATGCATTGAAGACCAGGTTCGCAATGATGAGGCAACAAAATACGTGTGCCATTGGGCCACGCTTGGCAATCATGAATGCATCAGTTTTTCAGTGTCATTAAAAACATTGCTTAAACATGATGTGATTTGCCTTATTCAACAACTATAGTTTATAGTTCTTAAATTACTCGGCCAAAATTTAGAAAATATTGGTTAACAGTTCGGCCTTAAGTTAATTGAGCACTATTGGGCTCACTGGGTCCGGGCAGCGTGCCCATCCGAGTCCTGATTTCGGTCAGCAGGCGGTCGGATGGTCTGATCCAACTCTCGTGCTTGGTGGGAGGCTATCGGCGTCGGCGTGTCTACACTCCAAACACGTGCTGCGCGTGACGTTAACCTACTCGTTTGGAGACAACAGGCCACCTGGCTCCCAATCTGGACACACGCTTGCAATCCAGCGTCCTGCCAACTGCCAGGAATCAGCCCTGGAGCCTGCCATTTTGGATTTGAAGACGACAAAACTCCAAGTCTTAGAGCCAGTTCATTCGCAAGCCTGTGGCGCAAGTGCCGGAGTTGAAACATAACAATAATGTGACTACATTACAATCACATGGCAAGCTGCTGGCGCCGCGGCGCGACCTGCAAGGGAGTGACTACGCGGTGCGGGCGCTCTGCGTGGATCGTGCGTGTTGGATCGCTCTCGCTATTATGGTCCCGTGCGAATCTTTGCGTGCTAGGTCGCTCTCGCTGTGCGTGCGGGGCGCGTCCGTGCGGGGCTCGCGTTGGGCGCGCGTGTTGTGTGTGACGTGTTCGCGCACAATCTAGTACCAGAATGCAAAGCGAAGCGCACCGCGCTCACCGGGGCGCACGAATCTAGCACCCCGCGCGCGCACACGCGCACACACGCGCACACACACGCGCCCCGCGCGTTCACTGCGCACGTTTGTGACGGAGCCTCTCTCGCGCTTTCTCTGAGCTTGCTGAATACAAAGAAACACAAGAGCAACCTCATAAACACCCAAGGGCACTTCTGGTTCAAGATCTCGCTGCACGTAACAAAACTTCAACACCAACCCTGCGCACAACCAAGCTACTGCAGCGGGCACAAAGCGAGCCCGATTTGCTGGTTCCCTCCCTCTCTCTTGTGCTTTCTCTGAACTTGTTGTCATGAACCCAGCTGATAGATATCGCTACGACTGTGACTCCACTGCAGCGGCGGGCGCAAATCATCCGGCATCCCAGCGGTCCCAGCGCATGCCCAGCATTGCTAGGCGGAAACCTAGCCGCGTCAGAAGCGATGCCAGCTGTAGAGCCCGGCCACTTGCCTTGCTCATCCCAGCGCAAGAGGTTTGTAGAGCGTTGCTAAGCGGAGACGCGCTGCCTTAACTGCAGAGCCCGTTGAGCTCATCCCAGGGCAAGAGGCTTGCCCAGCGTTGATTGTTTGGAAGCTGCGTTTGAACATGGAGTTTGGGCAATAAACGGCGCCTGAACACAAGCAGCAGGCAGGCCCACTCGTGCAGAGAAGGAACAGGAGTGGGACGCAAAAGCAAAGAGCGAGCCCATCATGTTCCTAACAGGCCGCTGAGACAGGGCTGTGCCAGAAGTTGCCTGGGCCACGGGCAAGTGAGACGCCAAGTGGGAGCAGGATCGCATGGAAGGAAGGCTGCGTTGTGGTCCAGCAAAAGCAGAATTTCTTGATTCTAAAGAGCAAGCAAGTCCATCCAGACCCAGCCGGCTGCCCAACTGTGGCAGGGTCTGGCTGAGCCAGATTGGCTGCAGAACGAGCTTGCCGGCTTGTCTTGAGATGGTCTGCGGGCACTGGCCCCGCTGCACACACACTATGTGCAATGTGTTGGTGCCAGCAAGCCACAAACCGTCAAATACTCGTCTGCGAAAATCATGTTCCTTATTTTTAGCAACATTTACAAAGTAAAGTCTCTTTCCTCTGCTGCTAAGGCAAATTAAAGTCTTAACAGGGGGTTCATGAAGGGCTCCGCTGATGGTTGGCTTGCCCTCATGCTGCAAGGGCTGCATCCAGAATGTAAGACCAAATCAGTATCAGCGCGCGACTGCAGCAGCTGCAATGCCAGTCATGCCTTTCTCGAATTTGAGCTCTGGGACGAAGACAAACTTGCTGCCTGATAGATGCCACACTCTCGCTGTTCCTCTGAACTTGCTGAACTAGACCACGGTTGGCCCGAAAGCAGAACATCGCAAGCGAGGTCGGCCCAACGCTGCAGGATGCGTTCTTTTTCCCTACACTTCGTGAAGCAAGCGCGAGACAGCACCAGGCAAGGTGCTCTGCGCAAACTGGTCGGTGCAAGTTGGTCTGCGCAAGTTGCTCTACGCAAGTTGCACTGTGCAAGTTGCTCTGCGCAAGTTGCTCCGCGCAAGTTGCTCCGGCAAGTTGGCCCCTGCAAGTGGCTCCCTGCAAGTTGCTCTGTGCAAATTGCGCTCCCTGCAAGTTGCTCTGTGCAAGCTGCTCTGTGCAAGTTGCTCTGTGCAAGTTGCTCTGCGTAAGTTGCTCTGCGCAAGTTGCTCTAGGCAAGGCGCTCTGCGCAAACTGGTCGGTGCAAGTTGGTCTGCGCAAGTTGCTCTGTGCAACTTGCTCTGCGCAAGTTGCTCTGCGCAAGTTGCTGTAAAATGCAAGTTGCATCTTGCGACGCCCGCCCGCGGACCAGGGAGGAATCGAACCCGCGACCCGCCGGTTCCGGGAGCAGGCGCGCGAACCACGAGACAACTCCCGACGACCAGTTCGAACAACAAAAGTCACAAAAAGCCTCTTTTTTTTGCACCTCGACCACGCCGATCCCCGCAGAGGGTTGCGCGAGCACCGCAGAAATCGCAAAAAAAAACATTGGTTTTTGCACCTCGACCACGCCGATCCCCGCAGAGGGTCGCGCGAGCATGGCAGATATCGCTCAAAACCATGGGTTTTTGCACCTCGACCACGCCGATCCCCGCAGAGGGTCGATTTTCGTGTAGTGTCGTCGGCACTACCCCGCCGCCCTAAGAAGAGATTTTAACTCCTCGCAAGTCAATTGCACTTGACTCCTTGCACTTGCAACTTGCACTTGACTCCTTGCTTGTTTCAAGGAGTCATTGCAAGCAGTCATTGCAAGGAGTCATTGCAAGGAGTCATTGCAAGGAGTCATTGGCAAGGAGTCATTGCAAGGAGTCATTGCAAGGAGTCATTGCAAGGAGTCATTGCAAGGAGTCATTGCAAGGAGTCATGAGAGCCATTGCAAGTTGCAAGGAGCCAAGTGCATGGAGTCAAGTGCAAGTCGCAAGTGCACGGAGTTAAGTGCAAGTTGCAAGTGCAAGGAGCCAAGTGCAAGGAGCCAAGTGCAAGGAGCCAAGTGCAAGGAGCCAAGTGCATGGAGTCAAGTGCAAGTTGCAAGTGCATGGAGTCAAGTGCAAGTTGCAAGTGCAAGGAGTCAAGAAGTTGCAAGTGCAAGGAGTCAAGTGCAAGTTGCAATCCTTGCCATGACTCCTTGCAATGACTCCTTGCAATGACTCCTTGCAATGACTCCTTGCAATGACTCCTTGCAATGACTCCTTGCAATGACTCCTTGCAATGACTCCTTGCAATGACTCCTTGCAATGACTCCTTGCAATGACTCCTTGCAATGACTCCTTGCAATGACTCCTTGCAATGACTCCTTGCAATGACTCCTTGCAATGACTCCTTGCAATGACTCCTTGCAATGACTCCTTGCAATGACTCCTTGCAATGACTCCTTGCAATGACTCCTTGCAATGACTCCTTGCAATGACTCCTTGCAATGACTCCTTGCAATGACTCCTTGCAATGACTCCTTGCAATGACTCCTTGCAATGACTTTCATGATGATGATTCCTTGCAATGACACCTTGTAAGCACTCTCATGAGAACAACTCAAGTGAACCCAGCGGAAGAACCCTTCGCCATGCTTTCGGGAATACCAAGAAACAAAAAAGCAACCCTTTTAACACTGAGGGCACTTCTGGTTCAAGATCTCGCTCCACGGAGCAAAATTCAACATCAACCCAGCTGATAGATATCACTACGACTACGACTGCGCACAACCAAGCTACTGCAGCGGGCACAAAGCGAGCCCGATTTGCTGGTTCCCTCCCTCTCTCTTGCGCTTTCTCTGAACTTGTTGACCCGCAAGCTGTCTAGCTTGTTGTTGAGCCACCCAGCTCCCTTCTCAGAAAGACCTTGCTGCAAACGTGCGTATGGCGCAAGCGCACCCCACACCGGCCGCGATCGCACCATTGAGGGTTGGCCAGCAAAGCGCAGAAGGACGCATCAAACCTACCCAAGGCAATTCCATGGTATTGCCAAGGCAAACAGTATTAGCTTTGCACTTCATTGCTGTAGGTGATCTCAACCTCAAGAGTCTCATCATGAGGCCTTTTCTTAGCTGCCTTAGCAGCAGTCCTCTTCGCCCCCATGATGCGCAAATGCAGCAGCTGATTTTCATGTGCTGAGGGCCTACCGCAATATAAGGAAGGCCGCCTCTTTGTTAAGCAAGCGCAGATCATGGCGCTGGGATGAGCTCTGCGGGAGTGCAAGGGGCGGGCTCTGAAGTTCTGAGCGCAAAGCGCAGTGGCCTGTGAACACCTGCGCGCTAACTTCCCTCAACAAGAGCAAGACTTACATTGGGAAGAGACACACTTTGCTGCACCTTGCTGGAACAACAGAGAGAGTCTTGTGGGCCTTTGTGCAGATCAAAGTGGTTCCATCCCCCGCAGCAAAAAATCAGCTTGTAAAGTTCGTCCCCCGTCCCCCCAAAACAAAAGGCCATAGTGGTGCCTGGGCATGGCTTTGATCTTGTAGCAGTGCAAACATATAAGGGTTGAATTCCTCTCGCCGCCGTTGCCCGAAGGAAAGCTTTCTTTCTAATTATCCGTCCCTCCGGGCAAACCAAAAACTTTATTTGTTGGAGCTCATTCTCTCGCGTTGACAAAAGAGGGGGCGTGCCCAAAAGCGATTTCTTGGAGCCGAACAAACTGCTTTTGCGTACGGTGCCGGGCTTTCTTGCTTTGGCTCGACAAACCAGAAGCTCTATTTGCTTGAGCTCAAAAAATCGCATTTCTCTTGCCTTGACAAATCCAGGGGGGCCTATCCAAAACCGGTTTGTTCGAGCCAAACAAATTGCTCTTTTGCGCTGCGGCGCCGGGGCCATTTGTTTTTGCTCAGCAAATGGCAATCATTTGAGCTCAAGCAATTGCATTTGCTAATTGCATTTGCCCGGAATAAAAAGGCAGAGTCAGTCAGGCTCGTGCCGGCCATGGCTTTTATTCAGAATATTGAAGGGTTCGATTCCTCAGCATTGTGTTTCTTAAGCTATTTATTTGCCTCAGGACAGCCGGCAGGAAATGACAAAAAAAATGTCAACGCTTCCGCGGGCATCCGCGGCGCAAACAAAAACACGCTCCACGGAAGCTTCCGCGGGCTCCCGCGCCCTGAGCCGCTCCTTCCGCAGGATCCCATTTTGGCACCCTAAGACTACAAGGACTTTCAAGGCTTTGGAACAGAGCTCAAACATGTTGGGGCGGAGCTCGCGTGAAAAACCCGGAATATGACCGTGAAAATCCGGAACTTGACCGTGAAAATCAAATTGTTTTTCGTGAAAGCAACTTTCACCACGCGCAACAAGCTCAGAGTAACGGTTTAGCTCATTACGTGTGATTTCAACCCAAAGGACCTTGTTTTTCATAGGACCTTGTTTCACGGAATTTCACGAAATTTCACGGACATATGGTTGATTTGCAGGTATTTTCACGAAATTTCACGGATTTTCACGTATGCGTAGTTGCGTGTTGTGTGTTGCGTGTGTGTGTGTGTGTGCGCGCGTGCGTTCGTCATTTGAGAGTGCGCAGGTTCTCGAGTCTGCCGCTGCAGTCTGGAGTGCGCTGATTGGCGCCTGCAGTCTGGAGTTTGGAGTTTGGAGTCTGGAGTCTGCAGAGTCTGCAGTCTGGGGGGCTGCAGTCCAGAGTGTGCTGTCTGGCGTCTGCAGTTTGGAGTCTACAGTCTGGAGTTTGCAGTTTGGATTCTGGGGTCTGCAGTCTGGAGTCCGGAGTTGGCGGTCTGGAGTCTGCAGTCTGAAGTCTGCTCTGGAGTTTGCAGTCTGCAGTCTGGATACTGGAGTCTGCAGGAGTTGGCGGTCTGCAGTCTGCAGTCTGGAAACTGCAGTCTGGAGTCTGAAGTCTGCAGTCTGGAGTTTGCAGTCTGGTTCTGGAGTGCAGTCTCGAGTCTGCAGTCTGCAGTCTGCAGTCTGCAGTCTGGGTCTGGAGTCTGGGGTTTGCAGACGGGAGTCTGCTCTGGAGTCTGCAGTCTACAGTCTAGAGTCTGCAGTCTGGAGTCTGGAGTCTGGAGTCTGCAGGAGTTGGCGGTCTGCAGTCTGCAGTCTGGAAACTGCAGTCTGGAGTCTGAAGTCTGCAGTCTGGAGTTTGCAGTCTGGTTCTGGAGTGCAGTCTCGAGTCTGCAGTCTGCAGTCTGCAGTCTGGGTCTGGAGTCTGGGGTTTGCAGACTTAGGGAAAACACAAGTCACTTGTGGCACATTGAAAGTCCACTTCTAGTAACTTATCACTCAAGATTAGTACGACCCCATCCCAGTAGACATGAAGCAGTTGTTGAAAGGCGCTCAGACGCTGGCTTCTAAAGCCTGCCATCACACGACCAAACGAGCCCAACCCTGTGACGCGAAAGCGAAGCAAATGAAACACTGGACAACTACGTGCTGCGTGTGCTTCTTGTTTGAGGGAGCGACTTGCGTCGCGTCGCAAAGGGGAGCTCAAGGCTGGCTACTTGAGGTCACCAGCGCATTGCTGGCACACGCTGGCGCAATCTTGGGCCCGCTGCTTTATTGAAAAGCTAGTTGTCCGTACTGTTTTGCTCATGGCTTGGACGCCAAGCTTTTTCTTCTTGTCAGTATTGGCTGCAATGACACAAAAGCCGCGCGGGCTTCAATTACTCTACGGACAGGCGCGCCCTGGCACTCGAGGGGCGTCATCGCGCCTGCGCTTCATGCGATTTATGGCACGCTGCTGTCGCTTGCGCGCAGCGTAGTTGCGCTTGTCACGCACGCTAAAATAATCGGCTCGTGTTGCCTGTCGCGCTGTAGCTAGTTCTGCGGGCCAGCTCTGAACCGTGAAAACGGTATGACCGTGAAAATCCCATATGACCGTGAAAATTTTGCCTCGAGGTCGTGAGCAGTATGGACTTGATAATTGAGGCCGAACGGGTGTCAAGGAACCCAAATCGTCACCCTTTCCGAGCCTCAGGGTACACTCAAAACACAAAGCCCCCAACATGAAATGTAAACCCAACTGCGTGCCGGCGGATACTCGGCCTCAGCGGGATACTCGGATCCACTGGCAAGCTACTCTGGCATACTCAGCGGGGTACTCGGCGGGATGCACTGGCTGCTCTGATAAGACTCACTGGCGGGCTGCTCTGGTGGGATCCACTGGCAAGCTATTCTGGCGGGATACTTGGCGGGATCTGCGAGATGCTTTGCGGGCTCCGGATACTCGGCGGGATCTACTGGCGAGCTACTCTGGCGGGACTGGCAAGCCTCTGGCGGGATACTCGGCGGGATCCACTGGCGGCAGGCTACTCGGCGGGAAACCACTCTGGCAGGACACACTCTGGCGGGATACTCGACTGACGAGCCGCTCTGGCGGGATACTTGGCGGGATCCACTAGCGAGCTGCTCTGGCGGGATACTGGGCGGGGGCGTGGTGTAGACGCATCGCAAACGCGGATCCCAACATAAAATCTAACAACCCCTTCCTGTCGGGTGGGGAAAAAGAGTTTTGCACGAATTGTGTGTGTGGTGGAGTTTAATATCTAAACTGAACGTACAAATTCAATTTGAGTGGTCAAAAAGGACAAATGTTTCAGAGATATTGTTTAAAGAATCTGGTTGGTTGCAAATTCTGAAGAAACTTCAAAACTTTAGAATTTACATCCTTGAGCCAAAACTTGACCTGGAGCCCACCTAGACAAACTTGCAGTGAATGAGGGGTCTTGTACTTTGGCGGGGCCGACCAAATCTATTACAAGGCATTGGGTGGCTGGTGGCAAGAGTGTTCTGAGAAATGTGACACATTGTCATAAAGGCGGACAGCGCAGCCTCAAAATACTGCCTCTTACAGTGGCCGCAAAAAGGGCCAACCGCGCGCTAGCTACAAAAAACGCTTCACCATGACCAAAAACGCCTGAAGGCAAAGCTCGCCTCATTGCCGGAGGGCCAGGTCCAGTTACTGGCGGCCTGGGTCATCCTCGGGCTCCAACTCAAGGCTTGAACTGTTGCGACTGATTTTGTAGCCAGTTGAAAGCGCACCGAGATGAATCCGCGAAAGTATCTTTTCCCGAAAGCATGGCAAAGGGTTCTTCCGTTGGATTCATGGGAGTCATTGCAAAGAGTTATCACCATCAGAGTCATTGCGCAGAGTCATCATCATCATGAGAGTCGTTGCGAAGAGTTATCATCATTGCTGAGTCATCATCATCAGAGTCATTGCAGAGAGTCATCATCATCAGAGTCATTGCACAGAGTCATCATCATCATGAGAGTCTTTGCACAGAGGCAGAGAGTCACTTGCGAGGAGCAATGCTTGTGAGAGTCACTGGCGAGGAGCAATGCTCATGAGAGTCGCTTGCAAGGAGCATGCTCGTGAGAGTCACTGGCGAGGAGCAATGCTCATGAGAGTTCTCGGGTAGGGCCGACAGCACTCTACAAAAAGCAGCCCGCGGAGATTCGTGTGGTCGAGGTCAAAAAATGAGGACTTTTTACGATTTCTGATCTGTGTGGTCGAGGTCAAAAAAAAGAGGACTTTTACGATTTCTGATCTGTGCGAGCGACCCTCTGCGGAGATTCGTGTGGTCGAGGTCAAGAAAACTGAGGATTTTTTATGATTTCTGATCTGTGCGAGTGACTCTGCAGAGATTCGTGTGGATTGAGGTTTAAAAACTGAGGGTTTTTTGGACATTCCAGGATGAAGCCTCTGCGGGGATCGGCGTGGTCGATGTGCAAAAACAGGGTTTTTTCGATTCTGAAAAGGCTCGCGCGACCTTCTGCAAGGATCGTGCGTGTCGAAGCGCTCTCGCTGTGGCGCCGTGCGAATTTGTTGCTTGCGAAGTGGTCTTTGGAAGTTGTCGCGTGGTTTGCGCGCTGCTCTTGGAGTCCCGACTGGTCCGCAGAAGCTTTTCTAGACAGAAATCGCAACTTTTAAGCGCACGGGTAGTACACGGACGCAGCCCTGGCTGGAAATTCGCAATTTTTGAGTACAACTGTACGCAGAGTGCAGTCCTGCAGCTCCAGCTGCATATTGCAGAGCAACCTGCACAGCGCGCTGCCGCTTGCCCAGAGCAACCTGCGCACAGCAAATTGCACAGAGCACTTGCACGTAGCAGCTCGCGCAGGGCAACTTGGGCAGACCAAAAGTCAGGTGTTCCGTTGGGAGTCATTGCGCACAGTCATCATGACAGCCATTGCATAGGGTCATCGCACAAGAGTCATTGAACGGAGTCATCACGACAGTGATCGCACAGAGTCATCATAGAGTCCTTGCACAGAATCATCATGAGAGTCATTGCACAGAGTCATCATGAGAGTCCTTGCGCAGAATCATCATGAGAGTCATTGCACAGAGTCATCATGAGAGTCATTGCGCAGAAGCATCATGAGAGTCATTGCCATCACAGAGTCATCACACCAGAGTCATCGCACAGAGTTTGCACAGAGTCATCGTGAGAGTCATTGCGCAGAATAATCATGAGAGTCATTGCGCAGAATCATCATCAAACTTGTGTGAGGGGGGGTCCGAAGGTTAGTTGCTGCGCGTTGCTCGTGACCACATCGAGCAAAAAACTTGCGCGCGAATGATCGCCGGGCTGTGATGCTTTCGGGCCAGCCGTGGTCTGGTTGTTTTTCTCCCCGTTTCGAGACAGAGGAATGTAGAACAATCCCAAAGCAGTCCTTAGTGCTCCTTGTTTCTCCTTGATTCTTCTTACTCCTTTTCTCTTGCGGGTTTGCCACTTCCTCTTCCAGGCACGCATCGAGCACGGGCCTGCGTTGCTTGGCTCTGCCTTGGCCTGGCCACGCCGGGCCCTCTCTAGTTGAAGCGCTTGCCACTTTTGCCGACTTTGTTGAAAGGTGGGTGCTCGCCGAATTGCAAAACATGCAGGACCTTTGTCGCATCGTCCACCCTGCGGCGGTCAACTTCTTTGCCGAGGAGAGGTGAAGGCGCACTGACTGGGTCGACTGGATTTGCGCCCAGCTTGGCTCGGCCAGGGTTCACGGAGGCGCCAGCGCCAAAGGCAGGGTGCCTTGGTTCGATTTGTTTTTTCTGCAGAAATTTTGGTTTCGGACCTCTGAATCGATCTTATCTCGTCGGCTCTGAGAGGCCCGGTCGAGCCCATCCTGCTAGTTCTTGTTCCTGCCGTTCCCTGTCCGTTCGACTGTTTTTTCTCCTTCTCTTCACACATTCTTAATTTGTTCTGTTCTCTTTTCTCCCTACCCTGTTATTTTTCTCAACTCCTGCGTTCCGTTTCTGCATGTGAGGCATCGGAGCGTGCGTTCTGAACGCATGTGATACGCCGTCACTTTTGCTCCTTCCGTGAGGCCAAGTCCACCATCAGCCGAGAGCAGCTGGAGCGGGATCACGGCGCCAGCTGGGAGGTCCCGGCGTCGCACCAAAGCGCGAGCAACAAGTTCGGAACTTGCGTGATTAAAAAGCAACAGCAAGGGCTTTAGCAGAGTGAAGTCGCAACCGCAGCATGCAAGGAGTAAAATAAGGAGACTTTGATTTTAGGCTTCAGCATATTGCTTCGAATGCACGCGCAGCTGTCGAGACGACTCGAATCTACGCATTGATTAAAGCACTCGTTGTTGTTTTCCTCTTGATAGCTATATTATGAGGATCGACCAAAGCCTCCTTATGGCTTTTTTTGGAAGAGGCTGAATACGAACGCGTGTTACGGCGCTGTGGTCGCTGAAGAAGGGCAAGCGGAAGTTTTGCGGAAGTGTGCGGTGTCACGGGACGAAGAAACACTAGTGTACTTCCCGTGTACTGACACGTTCAAGTGTGATGCTTGAATGGGGGCGGCTCGTGTATTCGACTACTTCTACTACTACTACTACTACTACTACTACTGCTGCTACTACTACTGCTGCTGCTGCTGCTGCTGCTGCTGCTACCACTGCTACTACTACTTGAAAGCCACGATGTTTAAGTTGAGCTGTACTTCGGCTATTGCTCTTGTACTGAGAGCATATGCCTGCCCGAAAGGACGCCCCATGGGGCCAACTCGCGCTGCCGCAGTGTAAATCGCGCACTCCCGCTCGGTTATGGTTCCAGACAAATTTGTCTGTCGCAAAACTCGCGTTGCCCGCCTCGGCCCAGTCACGAGTGCGGCAGCGACGTGTTTGCAGAGATCGGTGGCGAAAGCAAGCGCCCGGCGGAAACAAATCTTGCAACCCGAAATTTTTTTTCTCCCCGCATTTCGGACCTGTCCTTCTGCTTCCCGCGGCAGGCGTTCTAGAGATGCGCGGAAAAACGAAATCGATCTGGCGTCATACCTGCGCCCTCCAAAAGTCTTGAAACACAGTTTGCAATTTGCATGGCCATCCGCTTCAGGTCATTCGTCTCCAAGTGCAACCAAAGTGCAAACCGGAAATGTACAACAATTGGCGGGAAATGTACGGAAATCGGCGGGAAAAGTACAGCAAGCATGCCGAGAAAGCACGGAAATCAGCGGCTTAAGGCAGAGCGCGTTTGTTCTTGGTGAATTTGAATGCTGCTGTGTCCTTTGTTGTTGCCCGCAAGAAAATACAGCTTTTGCTCAAATGCGCGGAAATGCACGGAAATGCACGGATTGTCGCGGACGCAAAAAAACATTGTCAGTCTTTTGATTGCCGGCAGAAAAAATTGTTTTTTTCGCGCGTTTCGGACCCTGGCGCCATGTCCGGCAATCCTTTTGATTCCCGCAGGAGACATTGTGGCAAAGCGTCGACAAAGCTGTGCCGGACAGGGAAATTCTTTTTTTGCGCGAAACGCGTTCTGGCATCATATCCGGCGGTCCGTAGGATATGTAAGATTCGCGCGAAACCGCGCGTTTCGGACCTCGAACAAGCGTTCTGGCGTCATGTTTGGCGGTCCTTGTGATTCCCACGGCAGACTTTGTATTTCGGGTGGAAAGGCGCAAAAAATTGGGTTTGGAGCACGAAATTCGTTCTTTCAAGCATGTCGGACCCCGAAAAGCATTCTGACATCATGTTAGAGTCGATCTAAAGCCCTTGCTTCGGAAGCTCCACGGAAGCGCGGCGGAAGCTTACAGCTAAAAAGTAGCGCGTGTTTGGATCTCATGCTTTGATGATTATATGTAACGTGTTTTGTTTTTTGTCTGCAGCGCGGAAGCCCCGCGGAAGCTCCGCGGAAGCTTTGTATGCGGGAGTCATTCTAAAGGTCCTTGTGCTACAAAGCTGCTATTTTCGAGCTGGCTGCGGAAGTGCACTTCGTGTACCACACTTGTGATTTTCGAGCTGGAGCTGCGGAAGCGTACTTCGTGTACTGCACTTGTGATTTTCGAGCTGGAGCTGCGGAAGCGTACTTCACGCACTACACTTGTGCTGCAAAGCCCATTTTTTTTCGAGCTGGAGCTGCGGAAGTGTGCTTCGCGTACTACACTCGTACTACAAAGTTGCGATTTTCGAGCTGGGGCTGCGGAAGTGTACTTTGCGTACTACTGCCATGTGTGGGGGTTAGGCTATGTTTATAGAGACTTACAGCCCAACTTATTACTTCTATATCCTAACATATAATCCAGCGTAAGTTTCGCAAGTCCGTTTTCAACTTAATTAGCGCAAGTTCTTTTGCACCTTAAGGAAGACACGATAGATGTTAGTGTAACCTCTATAGAACTTTTAAAGACTTATCGCTAAGTTCTAGTAACTTCTAGCCTAAGTTACTTAAGGAACTTAGGGGACTTTGGTGAACTTAGCTTTTTGTATGATTTGTAGGAATGTATAGTATAGGCACTCGCTGAAAAAGCGAGTTTGGATTTTTCCACACAGCCATGCTCTGTTGCACTGAGTCTTTGCCAGTGTCTACCAAGTAATGATCTCGATAATGTCGCCGCCGCTGCCACCCAAGAGCAAGGCGCAGGCCGTCTTGCAAGCGCAGTTCTCTCCGCTGACGCCACGTTGAGAAAGTCGCGGACTTGGACAGGAGCTCGAGCGATGCCACCACAGCTGCCACGCGCTCGTCAACGCGTAGCCCGCCAGGGACACGGGGACGCTCCGCGCCAGGACAACGTCGTCTGCCGTGTAGAGGTCTTTTTTACCATAAAACTGATGAGACACGAGAATGTTCGCATCGTCTTCGCACAAAACCTCGCCGCGCAACAGAGCATCCTCCCGCGCAGCGACCGCGATGTGCGCGGATGCGAGAATGCCGCGGGCAAAGATGCCGCGCTCGAACCCCGGGCCCGAGCGCAAGTGCGAGGCGTAAGCTTTGAGTAGCCTGTGCTTGCGCTCAACTGGGAAGCAGTGAAGCACCATGCCATCGCGCAAGCCGCAACCCGAGATGACCCTAAGCGTCCGCTCTTGAAAAATCGATCGCTAATTATTGAGTTGTTCAATTGAGATTTTTGTTTTTCAATAGAAATCAGTTTGTTTTTTTCAATCGTGCTTCAATGGTTTTTTGACATTTCAAATTTGAATAGACATTTCAGCATGTTTCAATCGTTTTCATTCGTTTTTCATGACGTCTCAAAAGACAATAAGTCTCATTTTTCAACAGAGAGCAATTTCTAATGTCACATGTAAATGTCATGAAAACACTACACATCTGTCACATCTAAACTCTCATTAATGACATACAAGCTAATGAGAAACACGCACAATTTATGAGACAGAAACCACAATGAAAATAGAAAAAACATTAGGCAGTTCACATGTCAAAGCAAACTTATGCAAAACTCAAATCACCCAACATGACAAGTCATCAAAAAATACACTAACCTAACTCCAATGTTATAGATGCTTTTGGTCATACACTTTTCCAGTCTTTAGTTGTGGATGGTGCCTAGACATTGGCAACCACATTTGCTAGGGCTATCCAGGCCACCCAGTATGTAAATATTCTGATCTCTAGGCTGTCCAGCCCCGATAATGTAATTGTTTTCTGGGACAGAAAATGCTGTTCAGTTCAGTTCAGTTCAGAGTACTTCAAGAACACAATTGAACATGTTTCAGCTAACAAAAACAATAGACATTTCAATCGTTTTTCAATAGAAATTTCAATATGTTTCAATCGTTTTGTTTCAAAATTCAACAGAAATTTCAATCGTTTTTCAATCGCACACAAACATGGATCTATTGAAATGTCTGCTGTTTCAATAGAAATCTGAAAATTCAATCGTCGATTGAAATGTTTTTCAATAGAACCGTTGAAATTTTTCAATCGCGGATGCTTTGGGGATGAGGCATCAGAATCTCGGCCCCGTACGCCGCCTGCAGCGCATCATGGTACTGAAGATGCTGAAGGTCGCGGCGCTCGCGGCGTTCGCCGGCAAGCCTCCAACCTTCAAGCCCTGGCACAGGCCCAAGATGTCCCGCACTCTGAACAGGGAAGCGGTCTCTCGTGGCGTGACATCGCGCGTCACCTTCTCCACAAACAGCGGCGAGGATGGGATATGCCGCCAACAGCTCGGGCTTCCACGTTGCGGCGCTCCGAACGCTGGCCGGCAGGCCAGCTGTGTGCATCCACCAGCCCCATGACATCGCAGAGCGACAGTGGTGTGGCGGCCTGCAGCGCAGGCAGACACTGCTCAGCTTCAAGCAGAGAACACCTTCGTCTCGCTGCCTGAAGATCTGCGTGTGCAGGACGCCTAGAGGCTCGTACGGCACGCCGAACGCCTTTTCTGCTGCCTCAATCTTCACGGAGCTCGTCCGCCGTTTGCGAGATGGTCTTGGACGCGGGCGACAAAGAGGGCCGCTCGTAATCATCCCAGTGCTGCGCGCCCAAGAGATATCTCTTCACGGACTTGTTCGCGCGCGCTAGACACGGCCTCCATCCAGCAGGACCTTTGAAAGCGAAGCACGCCCGGCCAGCAATTTGGCGATGCGTAGCGGCAGTCTGCTAATATGACTTGCGTGGCGCTCGTCGAGGCATTAGACGGTGTCCGCCGCTTACGGGCTTTGTGTCAGCCCGGCGAGTTGTCTCGGAGATACGGCGTAGCCGCAGGTAATAGGATCCACAAGCTAGTTTGCGCGTCAGCATCTCGGCAAGTCCTGATGGCGCTGACTGGGCTCTGTGCGCAGACGTCTTCTTTCAGGCAAAGGTCATCACAGGAGCGCTTCATGCTCGCCGCTTCTGATCCAAATGCCTGCATGCAAATTTATGGTGCGCGCCGCAACGCTTTTTATCCGTGGACGCCAGCGCCTTATCCTGCCGAGGAAAGACTTATGTTCCGTCGCGTGCGTTGCGCGCCTACCACGCATGAAAAGGCGTCCCTACAGTCTACGGACTGGAGCCGCGCGGCAAAGCCGCATGCGACGTCTCCGGCCTGCCTGTCGAGGAAGTGAGGGTTCGAGGGCGCGTCCGGCGCAGGGATCCAGGTCTCCTCCGCTTGCTTCAAGACTTCTCCAATGTCTCTCTGTCGCAAGCTCCGCCAGCT